TCCTGATCTGTTTGTTGTTTGTCTCTCTCTCTCTCTCTCTCTCTCTCTCTCTCTCCACAATTGTAAGTTCATCCAAACAAGCAATGGCCCTGTTCTTTGTTTCCATTTAAACAAGGCCATGGCAAAAACTGAAATATGTGTTTAGAAGGGGAATGCGCATTGTATGAGCAGCCTTCTCATATGCAAACAATGAGAAGGCTGATTTTGCCATCCGTCAACTGCTTTGGAAGTCAATAGCCTTCATTAAGTTGTAAGGAAGGTTGTCTCCATTTTAGTTGAGCTTTAATTAAAGTTGATCACTGTGAATTTGTCTTGGTTCTTTTATATGAGAAGGCTTCTCATGCAATACGCTCATTGAGAAAACTGAGTTTCCCAAACATTAAAATTATTGAACTAAATGCTTCTCTCTCTTCCCAAGTGATCAGCCATTTGCAATACACCCATTTAAGAAAATCCAGTTAAAAGCAACCATTTGACTTTTGAACACTAATGATCTATTTCTACCCAGGTGATCATAAATTCGGAGGTGTGGGACCTAAGGAAGTTCCGGCTACTAAGGAGCGTGCCCTCATTAGACCAAACCATCATCACCTTCAACTCAGGTGGGGACATTATATATGCCATCCTTCGAAGGAACCTTGAGGACATAACATCGGCAGCTCAACCTCGACGCGTGAGACACCCCCTCTTTGCTGCCTTCCGCACAATTGACGCAGTCAGCTACTTGGACATTGCCACTGTTCCTGTTGATCGTTGTGTTTTGGACTTTGCAACTGAGCCGACTGACTCATTTGTTGGTGTGGTGGCCATGGATGACCATGAAGAGATGTATGCATCAGCTCGAATCTACGAAGTCGGTAGGAGGCGACCTACAGATGATGACTCTGACCCTGATGATGGGGCTGAGTCTGATGATGATGATGATGAGGATGAGGACGAGGATGAGGATGATGATGGGGCTGATGATGACGCATTGGTAGGACCTGGGGGGCTTGGTGGTGATGATGATGATGATGATGGGGATGATGATGATGAAGAGCTTGAGGAGGGGGATTTATTTAGTGAAGGGGATGATGGGGATTTTGACGAGGATGGCATTGGGGGAGGGATATTGGATATCGGAACTGACGATGATGATGATGAAGAGAGCCAATTGTTGGAGTCATTTAGTAGTGACGATGAGGGGTCTCTGGGGCGCTTGATGTGGTGATGGATGGGATGCTAGTGGCGAGTTAGAGATAGTTTTTGAGAGAGAGAGAGAGAGAGAGAGAGAGAGAGAGAGAGAGAGAGAGT